TGGTCATGTGTTTGAAAAATTAAAAAGGGCATCGAGTATTTTTATTTGAAGTAATATAGTAATATAGAAGTAGTTTTTTAACAAGCTGTAAACACTCCAAGCGACGCACTGGCTACGACCTTGTGGACCAGATCAAAGCGTCCCCGCTACTCGCCGTAAAACACACCTTGCTTCAACTGGGGAATTGCATCCGTAAGATATTTTTCCGCCCAGTGGTAATAAGTCTAGACCCTAGTGGCTTAAAGATGAAACTTATCAGAAGTCAAATCAAGTCAAATTTTAGATCACCTTCAGATTTAAGATATAAAATACGGTGATCCTAGAAAATCGAGGGTTTAAAATTTCAAAATTTTCTTAGAGAATTGAAATATTCGAAAATTCTAAGAGTTTCTGAACGATTACTATTTTGAAAAAAAAAAAAAAACTGAAGTCATGGAGATTTAAACTTGCCTCTTGAGGAATGTTAGCATTGTCTGGATAGCACCTTTTCACCATGTTTAACCCTTTTTTCGTAACTTAGTTAAGACGAAAATTTTCACGATCAAAAATTATAGAAATTTTGCTAAAAATAAATTTAACTATTTCTTATTAGTACCTATCTACCAAAAAGCAAGGAACTGATCTAAAAAATTATCGAAATAATATTCTCATATGCTGTCATTATTAATTAACGAAACTTCAATCTACAAATGTCGTACCTCAAATAAACTAGCCCACAATGGTACTACTTTCTATGGCGCGACACAGACAACGGAAAGATAACAAACGGAAAATAGATAAAGGGAAAAGGAGGACCTATTGTTCGCATTCCTGGTACCATGAAACGTCCAAAAACCATGAAAGTACCCATTCGCCGGATAGACATTATTATATTTTTTTTCCTAAATTTACGCTCGGGAAATAAAAATCAGATTCTAAAAAATAGAGTATATAAAATTGCCCACTAGTTGTTTCGACGGTACTTACGACCATATAAATATGGTTCATCAACTGCTCACAACTAAAAAAAATGCAGTGATAAAGGAATAAAAAGAAGAACAAAAAAATGTAGATAATTTGCTGAGTAAACTGAGGATCGCTTCATAGTAGAATTAACCTTGCGTTTTATTTTGTGAACAAATTCGGATGAAATTATCCAAGGTTCACAAAATATTTCATCGGCTTGTTTAACTTGTTGTAAAAAACGCTAAATTACATAATGTGTACTGGTGAAATTTTTTACAAATAGAATAGTTAATGGTGGATACATCCAAAGCGATTCCAACCTTTAACTTTGAACTTTCTTTAAAAATGCGAACTTGTATTAGAGAATGGTAGTAAACGAAAGTATGACATTTAAAGTGTGTACGTATATCACAATAATAACAATAATAATAATAATAATATTTACGGTGAATTTTCCTCTCTTCTGAAGCAAAAGCAATACGGATATTAGTTCAGTTGGTTTAATTCAATAATATTAACCATTTTTTAAAGGCCTTGTACTCGTCCAGAAACAATTTCGATTTATTGTATTTGAGTAAGATCACTTCATTTTTCTTTTGTTCCTTCAGACAATTTTATGGTGGTCGTGTCTCCGCATTTTTCAATTCTTTAAGAAACTCCTTGAATTGAAGTTATTAACTTTTTCGTGGGAGTAAATATATTCACTTTGATATGTACGCAGTACAGTTGTCACTCGGTTTCCTGAACTACAGACAAATTAGATATAAATTAGGATTTTTACATAGGAAAAGTTTATTGAATAATGTTTTTAGAATGGTGCCATTCACCGAATAAAAAATTTAATAACGTTCGACCAATGTTAGTGTCTTACCAAAATTTCGGGGTAGTAAGTTTTAAAAAGGGGGTGGATTCATTACAATTAATTAACCACAAAAGAGAAGAATATCATTGAATACCGAATTTTGAGCTGATGAAGAATAATTTAATAGTGAATAGCTGATAGACTACAGATGACAATGGGAAAACTAATTTTCGTACCCTATGAGCTAAAAAATAAGAACACAAAAAATGAGTCAATTTCTAAATATTTCTCTTATTGTCACACGGGAATTAAAAAAATTAATACAAATTAGAAACATATTTTTCTACCAATTTAATGTGTGGAAATTAGTCACCGGGTTGGATAGGTAATTTACATGTCAAATATTTAAGCTCTTGCTCACGACAAAATTCGCACTTGATAGTGTTTTACCGCAAAAAAGACGTAATAAAATGCGATCAGAATAAAACATCTCGAAATCCCTGAATTCGTGAATCTTGCCTTCCGTTGAGCCTCACTGAATCGATATTTTTTCAGAAAATTAACTATTATAATTCAGCAGGCGTACTATTTGCCGTGCGTTCTGAATTTATTAATAGTATTACTACTATCCGTATTATTTATTGTAAACAACGATAAATGGCATGATTTTAATTTTTTTTTTCTAGTACCATCACTGATTAAAGATATTATACATTATTACGGTACTGTATTTAATCAATGGAATGGTTACCTATGTGGGTAGCTAGGTCTAATAACAATACAAACAAACATATTCCTCAATCGCAGAAAGACCTTTCCTCTGATCTAGAAAATTTGTTGTGAATCGTCGAGTCTTTATTAGAATTTTAAAATTTTGCACATCCTATAGGTATTATTTATTTGCATTCAAAAAGTCATGAATACAAAATTATGAAATATTTACAGTCAACATGCTATATTTTATAATTTTTATTTACACCTGAAATTTCTGGAAGATACATTATGTGTTAACACGATTGTGCACTAAAAAGTGCCCCAAAAAAAAAAGAATCATATCTACCTATCTTGTAACACATAGAATTTGCTGACATTTGTCTGTAATTGTAAAATTTTGAATATTTTGTGACAAAAAATTTGCATACAAAGTGAATTAGTTAATTGTTTAAACATAAAAAAACAAATAAAACAAAAGTTGTAAATATTGTTGTTTAAATTTACAGTGAAGGGTGTTTCGCTTTACTGTACTCCTAAAGAGTAGAATAATAATTATTTCTCACAATTTGAACCGTCAGATAACAGCAGTACAACAAACGGAAATGTATATAGTAGATGCGATGACGTCACAGAACAGTGATGACGCGTTCTCTCTCTCTACTGCATGGCCCACATTAAAATGTCATTAAACTGTACACTCCTTGACAGCCGACAAAATGGTGAAAATAGTTATAAATATCCACATGTTAGAAATAAATTAAGCAGCTAGGTAACCACAACATGCAAGTAAAACTTGCCAATTCTAGAACAACTAAGGTAATTAGCATAACCGCCAACAGCCAATGTAAATCAACTTAAGAGTCAATGCTATTTCAGCGGCCACCAATTTTTATGACGTCCAATACACATGTTATTCACGTGGGCTCAACTACCAATATAATTATTAAATTAACTTTGTGACATTTTCCAAGTTTCAGATTTCGTGCATGATACTTTGACCTATTATGTGATATTATCGACAAACCGTTGAAATTTTTGAAATACGATAATACGACCTTGGGGGATTCTAAAATGAAAGTCGTTAATTATTTTCACTAGCAAGCGGTCTCAGTTTTGATTTCTATTTGTATGGGAGTTCAATGCATCCATAATTAGGAGATAAGTCTGTTTTGATATTTCTTGTCTATTAGAAAGTGTGCACAAATAGTTGCATTAGAACCTGTGTTTATTGCAGTTTTGTCATAGATTTGCGGTACGTTTTCTAATGTAGTGTTGAAGTCTCCGCGCTCAGGCGATAATTGGAAAGAGTTACGAAAGTCTTTTTAAGACTTTAGTTGTTAGTTTTAGGAATTGAAATGAGTCACAAATGAGTTTTGTACTTGTTGTAGTAAAACTGAGGTAGAACCTAAAAATGGTCATGGTCTATTGATCTAACCCATAGCTGTTCATTGGACAAGAGACGTTTGCCATGGACGTACTGATTAGTCATCGGTCATTGAGCACACTATAACATCCTGTTAGGTACGGAATGAAGTGTTCTCAGAACTGTGGCTGGGTTATTGCAGAACCCAGACCTCTTGAGGTCACCTGCAGCAAAAATCTGAGCATTACAACGTTTAAGTTGCTTCTAGAGGAACAGTCCAGCTCTTTTCTCTTACTCCCGTACAACAAAACAATTACAATAAACAAAACTCATTTTAGGCATGCAAGGCTGCTTACGCTAATGATCGCAAAACTAAGAGTTAAAAAACCGATAGAAATGAGCGTGTGGATGTTGCATTACGGTTCTACTTGACTTTGTTGCATACCTACGTTGTACGACACACATTCACTAGTACTAAAGCATCTTTAAGACTAGATAACTAAGTGCATGTAATGTTTAACAGCCACTTTCTTTGGTCGTTGCACTTCTTTTGGTTATCATAATTGATTGATTAATGAAACTGAAAGGATCTAGAAGCGTGGCGTATTTTAGACCACCAATTAAAAAATTCCATATATATTAAATGATTAGCGTGCAAAAAGTGATTAAGCAACCAAATCTTGGAATTTCCGGTTTCGAGTTCGTCGTAAAAACCACCCGTTCGTTGAAGAATTAAATAATTATTATTATCAGCGTTGCGGAAGAGAAACGTTATCGTTTTCAAAGCGAAATCATTCAATTAATTTAGTGCATAATTTACACTTTTTCTATTATCATCTTTAGAAAGGCGCACTGTAACAAATTCAGTTATGTAAGTTTCAAAAACCAAGTTAAACTAATTATGCACACAAAATTTGTCCGAATCTGTCGACCCACTTGTAATTTAGCCGAGTACCTTTCCAGTTTCTAGACAAAATTAACAAATTATGTCTAACAGCCAAACGGATAGTGAGAAAGTCAACAAGAAAATTTCAAATATTGCATACTCTTAATTGCTTGCTCATCTAACAACCGTATTTAAATTTTATATTAGGTTAATTTGCGTTTCTTTATTAGCGAGTTAAGGCTAATGCAACGATAACGCAATTAGAAGAGTGTTGTAGGGAGCAAACTCACCTGTTAAAGTCGTTATAGAAGAACACTATATCATGTTATAGTATCGGTCTTTTGCACTTAGTGTTAGGAATTTGTGGTGTTTAACACCCTGACGTAACGAGCTGCGACAAGAACACCTGTAATAGATAAAAACATATTGAAACTCTCGAAAGTGTTATTTGATGTTTAGGGACAACAACCCAAGTTTGGTTGTCACTACTTTTTTAATCGTTTTGACTAATATCTGCAAAAAATTAATAGCCGAAGGAAAAGCTCGAATGTATTTAAATAGTTTAAGTGAACGTAAAGCAATAACATAAGTAAAAGTTTAGGCGAGTCGCTAATTTGCCTTTAACACATTTTGACGTTTCTTTGATGTTGTTTTAACAAAAAGAATTAACAGTCGCATTTAACTTCACATTCTATAGTTGTATCTACATTGCTTCAAGTGATTTAGAGAATATAAACTTTCTTGCCTGGATGCATCCGTACAAATTTATTACCCACTGTGTGGGTATGCTCGATTATCCTAAATTTAAATATTCTGATTTCTCTGTAATTTAATATATGTGCCCGACATTTTTAATTGCCGATGCTGAAATAATTCGGCTTTCAAATTCTTTAGTAAATGGATTGTGCTCTATGTGTGTTGTGTGAACAAGCCTTTCCTTTACTTTTTAGTTTGTATTGTTAGATGACCTTTACAACAGAAAATTTATTCATGCAAGACAAAAGGATTGCCTTCAATACTAATAATTAAAAAACTGAGTGGGATATTTTGTCTAATTAATTAACCCCCAGACGTGATTTTGCAATTGTAGAAATTTATGAGGTACGCTTAACAGATTGTTTGCTTCTGCTAGCAGTAAAAGACAAAGAATGCGCACTTACATAAAGCTATTAAATATAATAGATTTCTATTGTGTAAGGCGCATTCTTCGCACAAATAGAGTGGAAATTTATATTTTCTTACTGAAACTAAGGGAGAGTTGCGCTGAATATTTCTCAAACAGTTGAAACATAATTCTCTGCTTGGTACTACGTAACTTATTTTAAAATAGTGTCATTTTGTACGACACTTGAAAGAATGTCAGTTAGAAAGGTAGTTAGGTGTTATTAAGCGTCATACCATGAGCCCGCAGAGAAAAAGTGAAAAAAACAGTTGCATAAACGTTTCTCAACTGCATACTGAGCGACAACATTTGGAGAAGATTTATGAAATATTTGCCGATTTACATAAAGTCTAAATATGCAAATACTGGTTTTAACTTTTTACCAATCATATACTGTTCGCGAGTTATTGAGCTCCTAACATGTCTCAGTTTTCTTTGTTAGAAGTTGCCCTGAGTGGGTGTCTTATTTTTCGAGAACTTGTTTAGACACCTTATTATAATTTTGGCCCAAACTTGAAAATTCTTTCGATCGGTCGTCACAAAAAACATTTTACGATGATGATGACCCACCATTAATCGCTGCGATGAGAAATCCTCCCGGATGCTGTACGCCGGGCAAATATTGCACACATTCACTTTTTTTACAGTGTAATTATGCCAACCATGAACTATGCTATGGTTATTTTGTTACAAATTATTAAGCACTGTGACCTATGGTATGGTATAGTGGTAAGGCACTAGGTTTCACGAACTCTTTCGCCACTTGTCGCCCGTTTATTGTCGATCGCTTACTGAGGGTACATGACGAAGAGAACCACAGGTAACGCCGGTTCACCTGTTTGAATGCAAGGTGGGGCGCTATAGAGTGTGTGTGGAATAGGTGGTCCAAAATTATTGACCATACCATATGGCTGCGAGTTTTTAACTGTTCGTCGTCTGTGTGCCATTAGTGCTTATCTGGATTTTAATTGACTTGTAACAGTTCTTTATTGGTGGCCAATATTGTTCATCTTTGTACAGCGGTTTTTGTTTCTGCAAACAACGCAGAAAAATATTGCGAAAAAAGTAACTGACAACAACTGTAGCTTGCGTTTAGTTTTTTGTTTTTAATAATTACTTTATGATGTTAAGTAGTATAAAACAAATTACTGTTTATGTCTTTATGTTTCTAAAATGAAATTCAAATAATCATTAATTAAAAATAAAGAAAGGAGAACATTTGTTACAACTTAAAAAATTTTTTCACTAGTGACTGTTGGATGACGAATCAAAAAAATAAAATTTTGAGAATTTTGTTTGAATGTTTGGTCTTTCAATTTTTTCGTTTCAAACATTAAGGCGTCTTCATTTGTCTAAATTAATACTTTGATTGAAGTATAGGTATAGTTTAAATAGTATCCGTTTTTCGTCAAAAAAATATTTTTTCTTGGTATGCTTATTTTAAATAATTAACAAAAAACAACTTAAATTAAACAAATATTGTATTTGGATTTAGAAAATAATTAAAAAAATTTCAAAGAGTCCCCTCTGCTTCCTCCGAAAAAACCCACTTATTGTTGGTTGAACGATCGTTCGGGATCTGTAATTTTTTCAAAATTTTTTAAATCACAGGTTACAAAATGCTGGTAAATCTTATTTGTAAACCAGTGATTCCATACCAATTTAACTTATTTACTATTATTTTTATTACTGCATACGGTAATATATTTCAAATATTTTAGGAATACTTCTCGGAAGAAAAAAATATGCTGGGAGAGCACAAAAAACACGATCAAGCACAGCCATCGATTTTTGAGAGTTTGTCTTTGGTCGTACTCTGTTCAACTCAAACTTTCAAATTGACGGTAATTTGACAAGAAGAAAATTTTATCAAAGGGTGTTCTTTATTGCTCTCTCGGCATAATATATCAAAAAATACTAATGTGCATAACCTGGGAAATAAGATTTTTGCAGCAACGATGTTGTTTTTCGTTTTAATTTATAGACATTGTCGAGTGGGCACACAACAAACACAAGCAGATTTTTTATCTTATTTTACACATGTTTATACATTTGTTTTCGCAGTGAAGTGATTGTCAGATAGGATGACAATAGACACTACATGGAACAGTGTAGTCAGAGTGTTATTTTTGTATCTACTTTATGATATATGATTATGAGGCGTTGGATGTCACAGTATACTGGCACAAGAGATATAGTGGCTTTACAACTACGACTCTTTCACTACCCTTGTCAACGTATAATACAGCTTATTAGATGCAAATTTATGACACCGTCCAAACTTAAATACAATTTCTTTTTTATACTTGGCTAGCACGCTTCTCCAAAACCGGCTAATCTTTAACGGGATTAGTTTAAGATGTTCTTTGTTCACAGGCGAGGGGGTTGGAAAAGTCAAAGTCATGAAACCACTGTGTCTCTTGTGCCGGTATAGCAAGGTTAGTGACAATTAAAGAACCCGTGCCAGTTAGAGATGGTAGCTAAGAGAATTGAGATCCACACAAAAGAAATAGCAAAAAATATTTACAAAATAGCAAAACATAAAAAAGACAACAATAATCTACTTACTATCACAATTAAGAGCAGTCTCCGGTGAATATGTAGAATGAATTGTTCTTATTAATAATAATGTTTTATAAGGTATTTGAAAATCACAGGGTTGTATAATTTCGTCGACTGCATAATTACTTTTTGGTTGTGCTGCTGGGGGTTTATTAATGTTTTTCCACTTAAAAAAACTGGTCGAAAGTTGTTTCGACAGAACTTCCCTCGCTCCTGAAGTACAATGAAACATATCCAGCATTTTGGAGTTGATATTTTCTTTACACAATTTTGCGATGACGTCATCAACATTTTTGCAAGGACACGTATATCTATACTAAACTCACTTGACATACTACTACATACTTGACTAGCAAAACTTTTATGACTTAAGCAGCTTAAGCCAAACCACCCTTATAAGTCAAACTGGCTATTGTATAACTTAATTCAGTTGACATATACCTAGTAAAACTTTACAGCTCCACTGTAGCAACAATGGACAGTAATAATCTTTGCGGTTCGGGACCATAAAGCTTACAATAGCCAGTTTGACTTCTAAGCATGTTTTGGCTTAGGCCGCTTAAGTTATAAAAGTTTTACAAGGTGTATGTTAAGTGAGTTTAGTATACTTGGATTGGTTCAGTGTAATCCTTAAAATAACAGTACCTACTGTATTCTCAAAGTTTTCTGGCAAAATGGAGTGAGCGGTGATGATTTAATCAATAAAATAATTTGACTCATTCATTACCTTTTTGAGACACCTGTTTAAGCAAATCTAAAAAATTTGAATGCAATGATAAATCACAAGTGAACACTCATCATATTTTGCACATTTTGGGTAGAATTTATTCGGCAAAATTTTGAGATGACGTCATCAAATTTTTGGGGGGAATAAACAGATATCTTTTGATTAAGAATTTACCATGCTTAGAATAACTTTAAACCGTCTCCAAGATTTCAAAATATTCACTTTTGCAATTCTTGATTTATTCAATAAAATGAATTGACTGATTCATTAATTTTTTTCAATCAATCTGTATAAGCAAATGAATCGCTTTCTACAGAAAGAACATAAGTCATAAAATTTGATTTTAAATAAATTAACAAAAACTTTCTAAAACCTGGCTTAAGGGCTATTTACACATTTAAAAAATTATGGGAAAACATGACTTTTGTCCTTTATGCATAACTGAGAAAGATAGCTGTATGAAAATAATTTTATGGTTATTATTACAATGTTTGAAAATTATCTATTAGGCAACACAAACTTAATTAAAGATTGATTCATCTTCGTTGCGTGTAGTAATTGTCGGCCAATGCGCAATAAGACTGTTTTAGAACTAAAAACGCCATTTTGCATAAAATTGATTTAAGCCCTTTCTGTATAAAGCGATTCAAATCTAAAAAATATGAATGCAATGATAAATTAATTATACGTATAGACTGATCATACGAGTATTTTGCACATTTTAGATAGGATTTATTTGGCAAAATTTTAAGATTAAGTCATCGATTTTTGGAGTTGATAAACAGATACATTTTACTTAATGCTTACAATAACTTCAAAACGTTCGCAAGATTTCAAAGTATTCAGTTTTGCAATTTTTGATTTAATCAATAAAATAAATTGACTTAGTCTAATTTTTTTGAGACACCCTCTATAAGCAAATCTAAAAAATATGAATGCAGTGATAAATCGCAGGTACAGATTCATCATACTTTGCACATTTAAGATTTTCAGCATTATTTTGAAGTGACGTTATCAATCTTTTGGAGGGGATAAGTAAATATGTTTTGATTAAACATTTATCATGCTTGTGATAACTTTAAATCATCTGCAAGATTTCGGTTTTGCAGATTCAAAATTAAATTGCAAAATGTTGTTTTATAATTTTTATTTTTTTTTTTCTAAAAATCTGGACGTTTGGGGTAAAAATTCATCACAGAGTCATAAACTACATGTGTCGCGCAATAGTCGCGAATATGACAAGGCCATTACTACCAGTCTCCAGCGGCACATTTGGGAAAAGCTGATTTACACGATTCTTCGAGTGTCATGTCTTTATGACAATCAGCCTTATATTGTTTTATATTTTTTGCCAGAATTAAGAAACAATTTTCCACGGATGCACTGTCATCTTCACCATGATGAGTAATTACTGGTTTACTATGAGGTGGGAAAGCCAGAAGAACACATTAATTTTGATGAACCAATTCCTTTTGTTTCAACAACGTGCGTGTCAATGATGTTTCATCCAAGAGAAAAAACGCTGTTACGTCCAAATTGTCGATATTCAGAATATTAATTATGTCGTCAATATTGATAATATTTTCACCCGATTTCTACACATTTTCGTATAAACTGTCATCAGAGCCAGCAGGCCGCTAAATAACCAATTTTATGGTAATTGTTCAACACGCCAACACAATTCAAAGAAAGCACAAGATAGACTGAATTACAATGAGATCAAATATGGTATTTAGTATCTTTAGCAGTCACAAAAATCGAAAAAAAAAAATGTATAAAAATCTTTTCTCGGAAATAGGTACATATTTATGTATACATGTTATTAATATTTATTCTGCACTACCTAAATGCAACCTATTATTACAAGGTCACATTACTTTAATTATTGTGTATATATAACAGTACGATTTCTACACCTTTTCGAACTCTGGTTCAGACAGTGTCAATTGTAAATCAGATCATAAAATTTTTATTTCAGAAAATCTCAAAAATGCTGCAGTAACAGTATAGAGAACTAGGGTAAGTCTAAATTTGTTGAAAAACTGCTCTAGTGTAAAACCGTACTATGATGGATGGTATGTTGTGCAAAACGTGCACAATTTTCCCCAATAGTGTCCTTCGCTTCGTCAATAAATTGTTCTAAATAAATCAACCGCTGTTCAAAGGTCTAATAACTTGTGAGATGTGAAGAAGAGCTTTGACATAAAGTTTGACTTTTGATCAAATGGGATTGAGCATGGGGGCACAAGGTGCCAACCTCACTAGCATTGCAGCTGTCTCACCGATAACAGTTTCAAGCGCTGATTGGCTAGGCACGTTATCGCAAGCAATGACCAAATCTTGTAACTCATTTTCCAGATTTTGCCACTCTTGAAGTACTCGTGCAATCTAATCATTCGTTAAATTTACTGTAAAAGAACAATGCCGACGTTCCATAGGCATGGCACCTGCTGCAAATATTACCCCAATTAAATGAACATTTGCTGCCGGTAGTTACGCGAC